GTAAAATTGGATGCAGTTTAAAACGTCCTATGTATGAGATTATATACGGTACTAAATGACTTCCCAACATTTCTAAGACACTCTACTCATAATACAGTAATAATGTAGTAACATTGCATGCAGTTATGTATTTCACTAATGTAGTAATGATAATGTAAACCGGCTGTGCTTTGCCGTTTGCGTTGTGGGGGAAGCTGAGGCAGTCAGCCAATAGCAGCCCAGCCCATTGTTCGATGAAGACGTCAATAGATAAAAACTGCTCAAGAGAGTAAATACAGACATACCCTCGAAAAGCGCTTTTAGTCTCTATGACCTACAAAAACCCAGTTTACCGAGCATTCGTTTTTATGACGTTATGACGCTAGCCCGGTAGACCGTCATACGATGCGATAGGGTTAAGAAGCCTAACCCGCGAATATGCGGGGCCGCGAATGGGGAACCGCGAACAGGTGAGGGTATACTGTATATTATTGTAGATAATTATTTACAAACCACACACAGGTTGAATTTTCTCATTTCAATCAAATAAAGTTAACTATTTTTTCTTTAACTAACACTTCAAGACATTTTAAGTGTAATTCGAAGCCTTGAAAAAAACTGTTCATATAATTTTTTTCAATTTAAATAAATGACGACTAACTGATTTGATACTAGCCTTGTAGTACCATCACAGTGAACAAAGTTTAGACATTGTTGGCTTAGATGAAACAACATATAAATTCTATAAACAAAATATTTAAAAAATAAACAGTAATAGCTTTATTATCTGGTAGATGCCAGACCTATGCAGAGCCAAAAATTATGCAGAAATTATAGTTATGAAAGTGCTTCCCTTAAAATATTTTACAGGAAAAATGTTGACACCTTATTAATGTTCTAAAGTATAGCATTTATACATCATTTAAAAGAATAAGAGTTTTAAACAATAATAAAAAGCCTTAAACTGTAAAAAAAAAATATTAATACAATATTTCAAATGTGAATCACAGTACAGTTAGCTAACAATTGAAGCTTGCCAGCAAGAAAGAACATAAACAAAGCCACAGCAGTAACACTAAATTACAATAAACATTTGTCTTGGGGAATAATGAAATTTCCAGTTACAAGAGCCTCCTGGATACAATATTTCAAATGTGAATCACAGTACAGTTAGCTAACAACTGAAGCTTGCCAGCAAGAAAGAGCATAAACAAAGCCACAGCAGTAACACTAAATTACAATAAACATTTGTCTTGGGGAATAATGAAATTTCCAGTTACAAGAGCCTCCTGGACACAATATTTCAAATGTGAATCACAGTACAGTTAGTTAACAACTGAAGCTTGCCAGCAAGAAAGAGCATAAACAAAGCCACAGCAGTGACACTAAATTACCATAAACATTTGTCTTGGGGAATAATGAAATTTCCAGTTACAAGAGCCTCCTGGATACAATATTTCAAATGTGAATCACAGTACAGTTAGCTAACAACTGAAGCTTGCCAGCAAGAAAGAGCATAAACAAAGCCACAGCAGTATCACTAAATTACCATAAACATTTGTCTTGGGGAATAATGAAATTTCCAGTTACAAGAGCCTTCTGGATACAAAGATGCCGAATAACAAAGCTTTTACTGTAGTCATATTCTTAGGTATAAAACATCTCCACATCGGTTTTATGTAGCAAAAACTTTTTTCATGTTGAATTAATACCAGATAAATATCATATCTGACCAAAATAGTTTTTTACTATATATTTCTAGCTTTTCTGAAACTTAACTAAGCTTTTTTGCAGAAATGAGTGAAAGTAAAATTTTAAGTAATTTTGACTGTCAGAAATACAGTAATTATAAGTCCTTAAGTTTAACTGTTTTGTTACTGATAAATGGGAATTATAGGTGGATTAATAAAATAAAAAATTACAGCATAATTGCCAAAATATTATTGAATTTATAATTTTGATTATCTAACAACGAATTTATCAAAATATATTATTTTGAATATCAAGATGAAATCAACAATCTTTTTAAATGTGAAGTTACTATCTTCTTTAACTCTTTAAACCCACAATTTTTTCCGCATTCAGCCGGAATTATTTACATGGTGTCCTAATAAAATTACCAATCTACTTATAAAATATGGATAATAACATGGTTTGGAATAGTTTTCAGCCAAAGAGACATAAATGTTATTGGATGCTGTTTTTGGCTGAATGCTGGCAGCACCTGCTCGGGTTTAAGAACATAACTCTAGAATTACCAATAGGGTTTACATGGATTCACTGGCTTTTTAAACACATTTTATTAATTATTTATGCAGCAAACTACTTGCGAGTCCACGACATTGTTAGTTACAGGTTCATTACTGAAACAAGTCACAGAAAAATTGTAAACAAAAAATATACTATAGATATTTCAATTACTCCCACTAATTAGTGCTGGGGTTCCCAATGTAATTTACATAGAAAATCAGCTTAATGAGTTTTTTGTTGTAATAGACAAAAACATAAAATTACTAAATACGATGTAATGCATGAATCCCATGGTAGTGAACAATACAAAAATTTGAGTGTGAGGTAAAGTTTGAAGAGATTTGTTGAAATAGTCATGAGTCACAGCAATTTTGTATTTCACTGTTATAAAGAATTTCTGATGGCATTTACTACTGAGCTTTAAGATAAAATGGCTTGATTTTAAAGAGGAAAAATTACTTGTATTTTTAAAGCCATCTGTTAAGTGCAACACAACAAATACTAATTTAGTAATGTCTAATATTTTACATGGATGTGAGAATAGACGGGTGTAGAGGGTAAGGCCACAGTAATTCGCTGAGGAAGTGATATATATATATATATATACTACATGAAACCTTCGGGTTGTATGATGTTCAGCACTCACAACTTCAAAATCATTCCTACATTTATGTTTTTTTACAATGAAAAGGAAATGGTATTTTATTAAATGAAAACAAAAATTGGTGATGGAAGTAAGAACGAACAAAATTCAATTAAATTATACTGTATTTTTCAACAAAAGGTTTCATTTAAACAATATTACTATTAGTAAGAACCTGTAAGCTATTACTAAGTACAATAATTTACTTGTACATGTTCAGTACAGATAAACTTCCTTTGCTCATTCAAAAATACACTAACAGCAACTTTCACAGTAGACAAGTTATGATTTTAATAATTACAAGTTTCAAAACATACTATCACTGAAAACAATGACAAAATTATTCAACAGAAGGAAAACAGCTGAAGCACTACTCATAAAAGTCACCAAACCCAATGCTAAATAAATATCCATGAACAATTCCTCTTTATTTATATTAATATTTCATCCCCCTTATTTTACTGGAAAAAGCTAATTTAATAACACCTACAAAACTTGTCTTCACCATCACAAATCTGTAATATTTTCTGGAATTCAACTCCCTTTTCAAATGAATCTCTTACTCTTTTGACTATGGGTTGAAATGTTGTAATTATTAAAATCAGAACTAGCCTACTGTAAAAGTTGCTTTTATTGTATTTTTGACTTAATTATTCAGTTAAATAACCATTTCTTTGTTCATGTTTCTGTTAAATGATTATCAATTTTGTATGTTAGAGTACAAACTATATAGTTTAGAAAAGGAGATATGAGCATGTTACCTGAAACACGTCAAAAGCACCTTCCAGCAAAGTAGGGACACCGGGAAAGACATAAACGTTCTTTACAGATACCAATGGAAACTTGGTTTGTTTCCCAGTCTTCTTATCTTCACCAAAGTTCAATTTTGCTGATGATGGAATCTAAATGAATGAGATTTGGGGAGAAACTTAATGTATAATAAATAGAAATATCACAGTAATGCTACAAAAAATAATATTAAAAGAAAGAATCAACAGGCAGAGTGAACAAGGCTGAGTGAGTAACAAGCCTACTAACTGCATGGTAGCTGCACTACTAATCCTATAATAAATGTATACATAAGCACATTTACATGCATCTGTTACTGCTCTAAGTGTTGTATTAAGGATAACTGCATTGCAATAACTAAGCTTATAATATTTTACACCTGGATTACTTAATTGTTACTTACAATAGCTTGTTATACTGTGATGTGTTACTGTGGTATATAAAACACACCAAGTATTGGTATTTTCTTGTAAAATTACAGTATATATATATTTTTAATTTATTCTTTATACATGCAGATTTCACATAACATGTGGTAGAGAAAGGCATCTCTTTCTAGCTGCCTTTGTTCCTTTGTTACTCCCAAAGAGATAATACCTGTCTGCCCATGTATGTTCGAGTATTGCTGTAATACTGTTACTTGTGCAAGAACATAAACAGCAGCACTTAAGTCTGAGTTGAGACCTTTTTGGCTTCCATTTCATAGTTCAGTAATTTTACTTTTTTTATGTTGGTTGTCCAAAAAATAATTCCTGATTCTTTCAAAAATGCATTTTAGAACATAAAAATATATCAGACATGATAACAGAACATCCCAAAACTACTATAATTTATGTGGCTTCTAACTAAGCTAAAAGTCATATAAAAATAATTCCACTACTGTTTAAAGCAACAGCTTCAGTCAACACAAGTCAAAATTTTCTTGCAAACTATTGTCTGTAACAGCCCAAACTAAACAAATGAATGCAAGAGGCCCATAAATTTAAAATTGCACTTTCTATTGGTTGTAAACATGTCCATAAAATAAAGAAATATTATTTAGATAAATTCATTCAGGGCTATGATGGAAGAGAGGAGCTTCACTGGGAGTAAATGTATTTATATGTCAGCACTGAGAATGTGGGAGGTTTACATTTTATCTGTCTTGCCAATATCTTTAGTTTCTCATTGGTTGTTAAACTCTAAAACCAATATAAGAGATTAAGAAAATCTAAAAAGTGGAAAACAGAGACAAGTCCTGGGACACAGAGAAATGAAGAGTGAGAATATATTTAAATATTTCCTTTTGAAATTAAAACTTAGATAATATAAAACTTTGAATTACAAACTATGTTTTGATGCCAAGTTTACTGACATACACTGATAAGATTTTAATTAAATTTTGAGTGTAACTCTGTAAGAAGTTTGTGACATGCACATTTTGAACCACTATATCCATTATATACATAGCGTTAAAATGTAGGAAAAACAACATTGTTTTCCATCTTCATGATATGAAGGGTGAAAATCCTGTACTTGCTTGTGGGACTTCTCAATAAGCAAATAATACTGCCTGCAAGTACCAGTCTCAATCACGTGGTTTCTCTTGGCACGTCTTCTTTAGCATGCTCTTTAAAACTCCATTGACTCTCTCACAAAGTCCATGACATTTAGGCTTATATTAACAATTAGGCCTTTCACTCCTATGGCAGTTAACTTTTCTTTTGCCAAACTTCTACTTCCCGATTTTAATTTCTTGTCTGCTCTGTCTGTCTGCTGTTCTCGCTCGTCTCACACTATTTATAATTTATCACTTAATCGTCTGCTCTGTCTGTCTGCTGTTCCCGCTCGTCTCACACTATTTATATATTTATCACTTAATCGTCTGCTCTGTCTGTCTGCTGTTCCCGCTCGTCTCACACTATTCATATATTTATCACTTAATCGTCTGCTTGCCTTCTATAAATCTCTATACCCTTAACATCAGTAAATTTCATGCAACGTTCGATAGCCTCAACATCAATTAATTATAAACACAACTTCCAACAATTGTCTGCTTTTAACTCTCTTATTATAAAAAAACTAATCAATCATAAAATATTCATTCACAAAATAAATTAATCAATAATACCTACACTAAACAGTTTTTTATATCATGATAATTGTAATTGTACAGTATGCTTTAAAGTAATTTATAGCATATAGCAGAGTTATGGTGGATAATTAATCAGATGAACTTGAAAGCAACTGAACTAGTACAAAAAAACTAGTAGAAAAAAAAAGTGAGTAAATTAAACAGAATATAAGAAACTGGAACCTACAGAATAAAAAAACAAAAAGGTATGCCATTATTAGTTTATTGGATGACTTCCTATGGTACCAAAACAGTAGAATACACTTATTAAAAGAGAAGATTCTTAAGGTCGGACAGTGAGGATACTGGAACAAAAGTATATGATTCAGCTAGTAGTGCTATTGGACTAACAGAGACCACAGGTTGACCATTAAAACTACTGGACCAAGAATCTATAAAGGTTTGTCAGTACATGAAGACCTAAGGGACTACCAGAGTCTACAGACTGGCTATTAAAATAACACTGAGCTAGTTGAACCTAGAGATAAACAAGTAGCTTTTACAGGTTGTTCAACTGGAATATTACACTAGCACACCATATGAAACGACCAGTAAGACTAATGGATCAATGGAGCCTACATATTGATCATTTGAATCTATGATTCAACAAGAAGGGTTACTGGATCAGTGAACTCACTGGATCTACCAGATATAGTATTGGACCATTATAGCCTATAGGTCAGTGAGTAGCAATACCACAGTTACTGAGCCGATAGTTCACCGGTGGTTCCAAAAGTTTGGCCAACAAAAACAACAACTGACCAATTATCAGGGTAAATTGGAAACTAAATGTCATTAATTGACCAGAATTTCAAACAAAACTAACAGTATTAAGGAAAGTGATATAATGCACTTTCCCATAACTCTTAAAGACAAAAAATTTTGCTACTTCAAAACCTGGTACTAAATGTTCATTAGAACCAAACCACTATACAAACAGTAAATACATTGGATTCCAGCATTTCATTTTTATTTTTATATAATTTCTGTTCAACTTTCTGAATACCCATTATAAAATTGTGAGAATTTTTTAGTCACTACAAAACTTCAGTAACATATTTTATAAATTGAGATTTCATGCAATTATAAAACTTTGGCAAGTAATAAGCGCTTTCAGACAAATGAAATACTAACAAAGGACTAGAGATGAACCCAGCCAGAAAAAACTTCTTAAATCATAAAAATACATTAAACCTAACTATAAAATTGAATAACAGAGTAAAAAGGGTAAATAATAATCAGATCTGTAAAAGTTGACTCAAAGGACTACAGTAATTAGTAATATTTCTAAGGCAAACACAAACTAATTAATGCACAATCAGATCCAGAATGACAAAATTTCTTACATAATTTTTAAGTACGCTAGTTCTGAAAGTGTACACAATAAAAGTGTGGAGCTAAAAAAACATTTAAATAAAGCCCCATAGTTATGTTCCAGGTCTCCAGATTATTAAAAGTACCAGTTAGATAATATATTGAAAATAGTCACATTAATATGAAGAAGCTAGCCAGTAGTGGTAAATTTCTAGAAAGTTTTGTGCCAGTATTCAGTAGACCTGTATGCCATCCTCAAGAAGCTCATGAAATAAATGCTGTGAGTGGCTCAGGGGCCTTTGATAATAGAGTAAAGGCCCCTCTGGGTAAAAGATAATATCGGCAAAACATAGGAAGCTATTTCATCACTGACTGTTATATGCTTACTATTCTTTAAACATCTACCATGTTTACTGAAAATTTATTAGTAAACTAGAAAACCAATTGATTACACAAAGTTTCTAATTTTAAGTTTCAACCAACGTAACAGATAACCATCAAAATTTGGGTATCACCAAATTAAGCAATAGATCTACATCCACAAAAAAAATACTATTCCTTAGAAGTTTTTAATCATTTATAGAAAGCTGAAGGAGTGATTTACATAAAGGTTAAAAAAATCAGTAATATTAACCTTTTCCAGACCAGATGAGTGTCAATGATATCCTATTAATTTTTTATCCATAAAGTGGAAATACTTTAAAAAATTGTATGAAACTTCATACACACCTTAATAAATAGTATCTAGTTTTGGCTAAAAAAAACTTTAATATAATTTGATATAATATTTTTATCATTCTTAGGTTGTGAAATTTCCCAACCACTTTGTTGTGAGATACTGTTATGGAAAAAAAATATTTAATATTTCCTTTTGCCATAGAATTTAATTCTGTTACATTGTAGATTAGAAATTCCCACTTCATATATCCACTCAGTTGCAATTGGTTTGTTTGTTTGTAATTAAGTATAAAGCTACATGATGGGCTATCTGTGCTCTGCTCACCAAGGGTATCGAAACCCAGATTCTAGCGTTGTAAGTCCACAGTTTCAATTGGACTGATAGTTAATAAAATTTGTTTACATATTTTATTTTGCCAATCATGAACCCACTTCCAACTATAAATCATAACAAACATGACAAAAATTGACAAAGATTTATTGGTGACCTAGGACTTTTCAGAATGGCATCATCATTAACCTTTGTCAAGCTGAATATCATGATTTTTACTAACAATATTCTTTGTCAAGATCACTTTTGAATAAAGTTTCTTTTAAAAAACAATAAGTCCTGTTATTTACATACATTGTTCAAAAACTATCGTTCATAAATCTTCTAATTTCCTATTAGATTACTCTGTTCATCCACGCAGGAACAATGTCTAGTAACTTTCTCGAGAAATCATAAATTACTCTTAAAACCATTTCATTTACCCTACTTTGATATAATACTTTATAACCTGCTCTATCCAATCGCACTTGAATGTTGTCTATTGCTATTTTCAAAGCTGTGCTTCAATAATAATTATTCAGACTACATTCTGTGAGGTCATAAAAAGATGGAAATGAAGGCCTATACTAATGTAACAAAAACACCAACTGAGGAGGAAAATCACATGAGAAACAAGACAAGAGTAAATTTACTCTCAAGGGATGATAATTTCTTTGAAATTTTAACCTATACTTTGGGATGGGTAGAAAAATTCAAAAAGATCTATACAAAAGTGTTGTTTGCAGTTAAGATTCAGAGCTGTGCAGAAAAGATGGTTGTACCATTTTCTTCATTTTTTCTTTGTAAATTAAACAAGTGTTGCAATATGACAGAGTATACACATAAAAGTATTTTTCAGTTAAAAAACTGATGAAATAATTATTATTTTTATTGAAATTCTGAAATATGATGTGTAGCTGTACATCTTAAGGGTGCTCATTAGTTATGATAGGGTTAAAACAAAAGCTTTTACTTGCACCAAATCCATCAAATCATACATGGTTAATTTTTACATAATGTTAATTAACATATGTATACACACAATGTATGTAAATAATACACAGCTTTTTCACAAGTTAGTTTAACACTTACATGGGCAAGCTTCATTGCAGGAGCATGGCACGAAAGGTTTTTCCCAAAATATTCTTTACACAAATTCACCAAGATGGGGTGTGGATAGACTTGCTCATTAAAAGCTGCAGCAACTCCTATTAACAATATATATATATATATATTTTTTAATTTGCATACTCCCACAAGATCATTTTATTACACTTTCATAAAGGATTCTTATAATGATACTCACAGTGGAAAACAAATGGATTGTTCTAAGTTAAAGAAAAATTCAAAAGAAATACTCCTTATTGGACTGATAGAAAATATTTTTTTTTTATTACAAGGTGTTACAATAAGTTTCTTTCTTTCTGCCATCTTGAAACTTGTCTGGTCATAATTTCATTTCTCAGTGAATTACCTATGTTCACAAGATACCCTCTTACATTAAGAAGTGTCAACATGTAGCAACATAAGCAGTAAGACCTTCAACCAACTGCCGAATTTTTCCCTACAGATAATTTTATGAAGGGAGGAATGAGAGGAAATATACCACACTACTGATAGGTGATTACTCTAATTCGATAACAGCTCTAGAACTATACATTTGAATTACAACTTGACTGTGAGTTGGAAAGAAGTTAGCTACCCTACACTCATATAGTAAATAATAAAGAAAAATACTATAAATTAAGCAGGAAACAGTATCCTTTGGAGCAGGAAAAAAAAGAGATGACATATTGAACTATATATTAAAAACATCTAGTTTGGATATCCCAGTATTATGTAAAATCACTGAGGCCTATTCCATCTTGAAATGAAAAACAATCAAAAACTGTTTTAGCCTCAACTGGTTGCCAATATCTTGTTTTTTTTTATGGAAAGAAAATTGGATGAGTAAAATCTTTAAAACTATCAGTCACATTGTCTACAGCTTTGTTTTGTTCATAAGCCTCATGCAAATAGATTAAAGAGACCTCTACAAACTAGACTGGAGGGATGAAAAAATATGTATAAATCAGCAAACAACAAGGCATAGAGACCCAGTGAAGGAGAGTACATAAACTAGAAACAGAAACAAAAAAGCACATACAGGATCATAAGAAAACATTTAGTCACTCGCAGATCCAAACCTCACACAGTATGTGAGAATGATATGATATAGAAATCTCAACAGGCTGTTTGGTTTGGACTAAGCATGTGGAAAACTACAAACAAACCCAGAAATCATATGCAGATGCACAAACTCTTAATCTACCTAGATACAAACCTAAAACATGTATATGCAGGCAGGGGCAACAAGTATAAGAGGCTTGGGAAGGCTAAGTCTTCCCAAATTGGTGAAGAGAGATAGTTCATCTCTGACTGTCCAAAGCGAAATCCCCCATGAACAACTGTCATGGACAAACAAACAGCCTCCCCAAATAAAATGTTCTTTACAGAGCATTTTTCTCACAAACTCAAACATATCATAAAGTATATGTGACAGAATAGTCTACCCAAACAAAAAACTTGCATGCTGTCTATGTATGCAGGCTAGTTTGAATGAAAATTTAAATGGAATAAGTCAGCCAAACTCAAACCAGAATGCCAGGAAAGTATTAAGTCTACCCCCTAAAAAAAAAGCTCAAGGCAAGTATTAGTAATCCTGGATTGCTATGTTCAACTCCTTATGTTTCAGTACTGAATCATTATGAATATCAAAGCAATGCCTGAGCTTTCAATTTTTCTAAACTAATGTCTTAAAAACAGAACATCACATTTATAAGTCAGTATGCTAAGATTCAACTATTTAAAATATGTGAAAAAAGAAGAAAAATAAAAATAGAAGATGAAACCAAACACAATAAACATATTTGATTTTAACTAATACTGACTGGTCATACTCTTTTCGCTGTCTTAGTTGCTGAATATAATTGTGTTTGAAGGTATGCTATGACAATACAAAACAATTTCCACAAGTTTCTAACTTAATGTAAATATTTATCTTTATTCCAAAGTATCACAGTACACTTATTCTAAAATAGTTCACCTTCAAATGTGAGATCATCATGAGTTGGACCAATTCCACCTGATGTGATAACAAATGAGTACTTTTGAGAATGGGTTGCAACTTCTTCTGCTATGGCTTCTATTTCATCTCTTATTACTGAAATCTGAAGAAAATTACTTCTTCAGCATTTAGTAATTTACTCACAGAAATAAATAATGAGGATTAATATATGCCTCTTTAAAAAAATTCAAGAGAGTTGACTCTTATCAAAGTACTGTGTCAGTATGAAACTTTTGTCTAGAATGCTGAAAATCATAATGGTGACTACATAAAAATATTGTATAAGCTTAAATTCTGAAACAACACTTTTAAAATTGTGCCTAGTTTCTGGATATCCTAGTAGAAGTATATATCATAGTTTCAGATACTTTACATAAATATTAAAAGATACAAGTTCATTTTCACATAAAATATTTATGTACCGTAAATATCTTTAGAATTTATTACATAGACTGACATTACAATATATGTTCTATGCAGCATATGTAATAGTTTGAGAAAAATAAACTGTATTAGATAATAATTTACTTTAGTAATAGCTTTCTTTCAAAACATCTTTTACAACAAAAAATAAAAGGAAAATTGAATGGAAAACTGAATGAGACACAACCATAAGGTACAAGACTTTACAATGAGACACAAAATACATTATGCCTAACTTTACAATGAAACACAACCACAGGGTACCAAACTTTACAATGAGACAAACACAGGATGCCAAACTTTACAATGAGACACAACCACATTATGCCCAAATTTACAATGAGACACAAACACGGGATGCCAAACTTTACAATGAGACACAAATATAGGTTGGCAAATTTTACAATGAGACAAATCCCCTAGGAAGTCAAACTTTACAATGAGACACAACCACAGGGTGCCAAACTTTACAATGAGACAACAGTATGATTCTAAACTTTACAATGAGACACAGCCATAGGTTGTCAAATGACATAAGCACAAGTTTATAGCATACAACTATTATTGTTATTATTATTACAAAATCTCTATTTACCAAAAAAAAAGCTTTAACATATAAGAAAATCAAATTAAATGCACCGAAATAATATTCCATGCAAGTATTGGTAAGTACTATGTACCTATTTTTATAGAATTTTAAGAATGCACATATAAAAATCCTGACTAACATATTTTCATAGATACGTTACAGCACACTTACATTTCACATATTACATTTTGTTAGTTCATCTGTTATGAAAATACTGCAGAAAAAAACTATTTCATCAATATTTAGACAGTGCAGAGTATACTACTTACCTACTCAGATATATATATAAAAAACGTAAAAGTTTATAATTAATTTTCTGAAGAGCTAAAACTTCACGTTCTATAAAAAAACCTGAATATTCTAGAACAAATAAGCACGATCAAAAAGGTGCCATATTCTATATTTAAGAAAAAATACTCCAGCAACAGGAGATGTTACAAATAGTCTAAGCAGATTTCATAAAATCATTGAGGTAATTGAATATGAAAGAACAAGAAATTAAAAGTCAAAAGGCTACAAAAAGCAAAAATTTCTATGTAAATAGACCTTCACATGTAATAATGAGGTGTGTAAAGGAATTAAAAACAACTCACCAGTGGGAAATGGCACCCCTTCTGAACTCCTCTTTGCCCTTTGTAATATGTTGCCAAAACATTGGAGGGGTTCCAAAAGAAATACAGAAATACAGAGATGATGGGATCCTCTGGTGCAGAGTGGCTAGGGCATGAGTTCAACCTCAACCAACACCTGGTGGCATCTGGAATTGTACATCAAGTAAGTGGTAGAAAGAGGGTTCTCTAACTTTCACCTTTCCCAATGCTGCCTGGTTTTGAACTGGTGATGAACACCCACCTGGGCTCTTCTCCTTCCTACCATCTGCCAATGTTGGCTTCCAGTGGATCTGGTATTGGTTGTGTTGGAGGTGCACACATGCTGAGACAGGTTCTTGGCATGAGAGCCCCTCTTTCCTGCTGGTAATAATTTTTCATTTTGTCTACTAGTCTGTGGTAGGAGGAAAGTACCCAACCTTACACAAGTGGGAAGTCATGTGTCCCACCAGCTACAACCAAAACCAGACAGTAGGAAGAGAGACCAAAAGTTTGGGGTTGCATCTCCAGTCTAAAACCTGGTGGCATTGGGAATTTATCATCCAGTATGTAGCAGAAGTAGGGTACCAGCCAAACACAGGTGAGGACTTGTGTGGCTAGACCATTTCCAACCAACACCCAATCCACGAAAACCTACATCCAGAGGATTGTAGGAAAGAGGATGTTTCATCCAGAGGGGAAAACTGCAATATATATATATATGGCAGAGTGCTACATCCAACACCTGGTGGCATCTGGAATTGTACATCAGGTCTGCAGTAGGAAGGGGCATCCTGCAATTGAAACCCACAAAATGCTACTGCCCTACTTTCAAACTGAGTGGTATTGCGCACACTGCACAGAATGCCCCATCTCAATGGTGAGCATAAAATGACCTTGTGATGTGTTATTTTGTTTCTTTTTCTACATTTT